ATATGTATGTATGTATGTATGTGTGTGTGTGTGTGTGTGTGTAAAGCAGTAATATATTTGAAATCAATCGGTAAGTTCTTTGATATTATGGCTGTGTTTTAACCCGGAAGGTTTTGTATCTCGATTTTGAGGCTGGCTTCACTTAGGCATTGAATGCAGTGTTGCCAGGTCCGCGGTTTCCCCCCGGAACGTGATAGTGCTAGTTTTGGCCGTGGTTAGACCTTTTTTGAGTAGCAATTGGACTGGTTTTGTTACACAGACCTGGCAATCTTGATTGAATGAACGTACGGGTATTTTAGGTGAAACAGGTATCGCTCATCCAGAAATGAAAGCAACTTACTTCCTCGCGAACTTTCTTATCACTTCTTTGAGCATTATGGTTGGTTTGTCATTATCTAAACTTGCCAGGCCAGCGATACCGGCGATAGCGCATCACTTTGGGACAAAAGGCAGGTACGAGGAAGTGAACCCACATCTATTAGATGACATTTTGTTTGTAAACAAATCACTGGTAGCTCCCCCCTCTCCAGACTGCCGTGCCATTCATATGGTGTCGGTTATCCGTCACGGGACGCGCTACCCAACCACCAAAAATGTGAAGAAGATCGCGCGATTGTTTGAGCTGGTCGTGTCTCACGCGTCGGGTTCAGCCTCGTGGCTAAATGACATCAAGACATGGAAGATGTGGTACACTGAAGACATGGACGGCAGACTGGTGGAGAAAGGGCGCGATGACCACAGGCATTTGGCTATGAGACTGGCACAGTCTTTTCCCACTTTGATTTCTGAGGATCATCTCCGTGCCAACCGCATTGAGTTCATCACCAGCTCCAAGCATCGCTGTGTTGATAGTGTCAAAGCTTTTCAAGAGGGTCTTCACCGACTCTGGGATGTTCAGGGTAGGCTTAGTGTCCCTTACTTAATAGATGTTTTGTTGGTCTCTTAAACATTTTAACTTAAGAGATAGTTCACCCAGAAAATAAAAATAATTTCTCACCCTCATATCATTCGTGACCTGTATGACTTTAGAAAATGTTAAATTGGTAGTCAAACAGTTTTGGTGACCACTGACTTCTGGTGGACATGATCATTTGAAAAGTATAGATATTCGGTACAACAGAGAAGAACTGCAGAATATAATGTCATACAGATATTTTTTAAAGGGGTCATATGATGCTTTTTTAAAGATCATTATTTGGTGTATTTGGTGTAACAGAATATATTTACATGCTTTAATGTTCAAAAAACACATTATTTTTCAAATACTGTACATTATTGTAGGTCCTCTATGCCCCGCCTCTCTCAAACGCTTCGTTTTCTACAAAGTCCCTCCTTCTGACAAGCGCAGTCTGCTCTGATTGGCCAGCTGACCCAGTGCATTGTGATTGGCCGAACACCGCAAGCACTCGTCGGAAATGTAACGCCCCTTACCATAATCGCGAGCTTCATCTTTCAAAATAATTGTAAAGACAGTAAATAATGTCATTAGTTTTACCATCAGTTCAAGCCAGAAAGGGAACAGACACCGTAATGATGCAGTACACAAGCCGCGGGTTAAGACTGCTGGCTCCACTTTGATGTGACCTCTCTCTCTCTCTCTCACACACACACACACACGATGCGCAAAAC